CCTCTCCCTGTTGTTTATGTCTTCCCTCTCCCTGTGTTTAGTGTCTCCTCTCCCTGTTGTTTCTGTCTTCCTCTCCCTGTTGTTTATGTCTTCCTCTCCCTGTTGTTTATGTCTTCCTCTCCCTGTTGTTTATGTCTTCCTCTCCCTGTTGTTTATGTCTTTCTCCCTTGATGCCTCTCCCTGTTGTTTATGTCTTTCTCTCCCTGTTGTTTATGTCTTCCTCTCCCTGTTGTTTCTGTCTTCCTCTCCCTGTTGTTTATGTCTTCCTCTCCCCTGTTGTTAGGTCTTCCTGCTTCCTGTATGTTTATGTCTTTCTCTCGGCCTGTTTGTTTATGCTCTTCCTCTCCGTTGTTTATGTCTTCCTCTCCCTGTTGTTTATGTCTTCCTCTCCCTGTTGTTTATGTCTTCCTCTCCCTGTTGTTTATGTCTTCCTCTCCCTGTTGTTTCTGTCTTCCTCTCCCTGTTGTTTATGTCTTTCTCTCCCTGTTGTTTATGTCTTTCCTCTCCCTGTTGTTTATGTCTTCCTCTCTGCCGTTGTTTATGTCTTCCTCTCCCGTTGTTTATGTCTTTCCTCTCCCTGTTGTTTATGTCTTTCTCTCCCTGTTGTTTATGTCTTCCTCTCGCGCTGTTGTTTCGTCTTACCTCTCCCTGTGTTTCTGTCTCTCCTCTCCCTGCTTGTTTTCATTGTCTTCCTCTCCCTGTTGTTTATGTCTTCCTCTCCCTGTTGTTTCTGTCTTCCTCTCCCTGTTGTTTATGTCTTCCTCTCCCTGTTGTTTCTGTCTTCCTCTCCCTGTTGGGTTTCTGTCCTTCCTCTCGTCCTGTGTTTATGTCTTCCTCTCCCTGTTGTTTATGTCTTCCTCTCCCTGTTGTTTATGTCTTTCTCTCCCTGTTGTTTATGTCTTCCTCTCCCTGTTGTTTGTCTCTCCGCTGTTGCTATCCTTTGTATGTCTTCCTCTCCCTGTATGTTTCTGTCTTGCCTCTCCCTGTGCAACTCCTAGCTGTTCTTATGCTGCGCCGTGTTGCCTCGCGCGAACTTCTTGACATGACGAAAACGTGCAGCGTGGCAAATTTCCGCTTTATCGCCAGGCAAGCAAGTTTCTCGACGCTCACCGAACAGAGCCAGAGCCTGCTCGCCCAAGGTGGAGGCCTACATGCCAGCAGACGACGAAGCCGCTTTGTTCACCCGAATCGCGGCACCACATGCAAGGAGCTCATCGAGATCAAGAAGGAGGGCCGTCGTCGTCTGGCCGCCGCTGTCCCCAGGGCACGCCGCCGGCGAAAGCAGGACCGGCGAACGGCGGAAAATGCGCCGCCCGCCGACGAGTCATACGCGGCCGCACTGCGCGCCCCCTGCGCGGACGGCTAGCCTCCCCGCGCGAATCTCGTGCAGATTAACGGGGCTGGAGGCTGGAGGCGGGGGCCGTGGGCGGGCGGGCGGCGCTGCTGGCGCGCCCGGTACGCCTGCGCGCGCCGGCGTGTGGCGGCGCGTGCGAGCCGCCACGCCCGCACTCCCTCATCACGCTCCTGTCCTGTTGACGGCGGCAGCGGAAACATTGCGCAACGTCGCTGGCCGCCCTCCTCGCTGCCGTTCCGTCGCGCCGATCCCACGCGCAACGCGGGCGCCCGGCGCCCTCGGCCCCTCTTCAAGACGCGCCGCGGATCCGCCAGGAACCCCGCCGAGGGACTCTCTCACCAGTGGCCGGCTTGCCGCGGGCAGCCCGCGCGCGCGGCCGTCAGACGGTGGTGCTTCCCGCCAGAATGCCGCCAGCTGGCTATGCAGCTGACGCGCACGAAACCGCGCCGCTGGCTGCGCGGGCGCGGGTACCGGCGCCGTGCTGACGCGAGCGCGCTCGGCGTACGCCGACGGCCACCGATCACGTCGTGCGATGCCCCCGATCAGCGCACCGGCGCCGTCCTCAGCCACTCGCCGACGCCGGCTGACCGCCTGACGCCGGGCGGCCCCGCGCGGTGGCCCGCGACATAACAACAGGAGAGAAGACATAACAACAGGAGAGAAGACATAACAACAGGAGAGGAAGACATAACAACAGGAGAGAAGACATAACAACAGGAGAGAAGACAGAACAACAGGGAGAGGAAGACATAAAACAACAGGGGAGAGGAAGACAGAAAACAACAGGGAGAGGAAGACATAAACAACAGGGAGAGGAAGACATAAAACAACAGGGAGAGGGAAGACATAAAAATGTCTTCCTCTCCCTGTTGTTTCTGTCTTCCTCTCCCTGTTGTTTATGTCTTCCTCTCCCTGTTGTTTATGTCTTCCTCTCCCTGTTGTTTTTTATGTCTTCCTATGTCTTCTCTCCCTGTTGCTCCCTGTTGTTTTTTATGTCTTCCTTATGTCTTCTCTCCCTGTTGCTCCCCTGTTGTTTTTTATGTCTTCCTTCTCCCTGTTGTTTCTGTCTTCCTCTCCCTGTTGTTGTTTCTGTCTTCCGGGAGAGGAAGACAGAAACAACAGGGAGAGGAAGACATAAACAACAGGGAGAGGAAGACAGAAACAACAGGGGGTCGCGAATTATGGGGCTGTTAACTATGGGGGACACACAAACAACAGAGAAAGTAAACCATGGGGGCCAGGTAGCGAACGATGAACAACAAGTACTACAGTGCTCACGAACAACAGATAGTGAATTATGGGAGGGGTCATGAACAACAGAGGTAGCAAACAACGAACACCAAGAACTACAGTGCTCATGAACAACAGACGACATCACCGAAGGCGTGTATTATCGCCGAGGCAAACTTACTTCCGTCTTTCTGCTTATTCAGCTCTTTCTTCTTCTTCTCCTTGCTGCGCTCCTTCTTCTGACGCCTCCTCTCCTCCCGCTCCTTCTGCCGCTGCAGAGCCGTCACCGGTCGGCTGGAAGCGCAGCCTTCCGTGAAGCCTGCAGTAAACAACAGAGACCACCATCACTATCTCAACAAACAAACAACGACACAAACAAACAACAGAAACCTCACTATCACAACAAACAAACAAGTTCAACAAACAACAGATGCAAACTCACTATCTCAACAAACAAACAAACAAACAAACAACAGTGGCAAATTTGCTATCTCAACAAACAAGCAACAAGTTCAACAAACAAACAACTGAAACCTCACTATCTCAACAAACAAACAAACAAGCAACAAGTTCAACAAACAAACAACAGAAACCTCACTATCTCAACAAACAAACAAACAAGCAACAAGTTCAACAAACAAACAACAGAAACCTCACTATCTTTACAAACAAACAAACAAGCAACAAGTTCAACAAACAAACAACAGTGACAACCCTCACTATCTTTACACACAAACAACAGGGGCATACCTCACAATCTCAATCAACAAACAACAAGCTCAAGAAAACAACAATGACCATCATCACCATATCATCGAACAAACAAACAGCGGCAACCTCACTATCTCAACAAACAAACAAACAAACAAACAAACAAACAAACAAAAAACCCCGCGACCAGTCTTCCCCTGTGGCGACAAACCTTTTCTCTTCTTCGACAGAGCGCTGTTAAGCAGTGCAGCCTTCAGCAACGCTTTCGCGTCCAGCGACGACCGCTCCCCGTCGCCGTCCCTCGCCGCAGTGGCGCCCTCTGTGCTCGGTTCGTCGAGAATGACGAGGTCGGGTTCGCCGTCGTGCGACATCGCGCTTCCCGGATCTATCCCGCTGCTAGCATCTATCCCGATCTGTCCCGGATCTATCCCGATCTGTCCCGGATCTATACCGATCTGTCCCGGATCTATCCCGATCTGTCCCGGCGGGACCGCTCCATCACTCGAGCGCGCACTCGCCATCTCGACATCGTCCGCCGCCGCCACCGCCGCCGGTTGCGTCACCGTGACGACGCTCACGCCGCCGACGTTCTTCCCAGAATTCCCTGTCGTTGTCGTTGGGGTCAGAGCCTCGCTCGTCTCGGTCGAGACGCCACCAGGGGGCAGCGAGGTGGTGGCCCTTGCTGGCGTAACAAAATTAAGTTTTTTTTGGAGGAGGAATTGTTACGTAAGATAGTCACCACAATTCCTGAATTATTATATATATATAATTTATACATCACTAATAATTAATTATATAAACTACTAGCTTTGCTGGCAGTTTGTTACATAAGTATCTGGGTTTCCCATTATATGAATACAATCTAATTAGTATATAATAAATGTATAATATATGTATAAATGTGATTATACGCATAATAAATAATGTATGTAATCAACATAATCAGCATTCTGAATGTGAACTTTATCAATACTCTCTACAATAAAAATCGTATTCACTAACCTCACTGAATAAGAATTCAATTCTCATTATCCAACACAAAACCGATCTCTCTGAGCAAGAATTCGATTCTGATTCCCCATCGAGACCGAGAAGCGATCTCACGGTAGCGAGCGCGGGTGTGTGTGCATGAAGCTTACCTCCGGAGTGACAGCTGACGTCCACGTCCGCGTCCGAGACGTTGACCGCCGGCGATGACACCATCGGCACGACCTGATCCCGTCGCTCTCCCGCCGCCGCTCTCTCCTGCGGTGGCGCCCCCGTAGTGACGACCTCCGCGTCACAGCGTCCCCTGGCGGCGAAGAATGCCATCAGCTTCTCCTTCTTCTCCTTGCGGCGCGCGAACTCGCCGATCTCGGCCAGGATGCCCGCCCGCAGCTGCGCGGCGTCCTGCTCGCGACGCTCAAAGTCGAAGTCGAACGCGCGCGCGGTTGGTTCGTCGTCGGCGTCGTGGTAGGCGGAGAGGTGAGGGTGACGCAGCGCCTCGTCCACCGTGCAGCGGTTCTGCCGGGAGAGCGAGATGCTGATCATGACTGATTAATTAAATCTAATTATTTCGTTATTACGGCCAATGACGATTGGGTGGGCTGGGATCGAGCAATCGAAAATTTCTGTTATTTCATTCGGTTTGGCGATGTCTTGAATTTTTCTCGTCTCTCGCTTTTTTTTACTTCTAATTGGGAGCAAGCGCGGAAAACCTGTGACAAGAACTCTTTAAAATGTTCAGAATTTATTTGGCCCTCAGGTTCTTTACTTTTAGTTGGATGCGAGTGCGCGAAACTGTGGCGTGACTTTTTAGAGGTTTTTAATTTTTTATTTCTTCTGAGTTTTAAATCGGGCTGCTTAGGCTAATTTCAAAAAACGTTAGGCTACCATACCTTTCAAATAAAGGGCCAAAAACAAACCCGAACGCATTCGGTAAACTTCGCACCTTTGGCTCAAACTGCAGCATCCTCGAGAGGAGGTCGAGAGCCTTCTTCGACGCGTTCGGGAACGTGTCCTTCCATCGCACGGGCTCTCTCCCGAATCCTGCAACACACACACCGGGGAGACATCAGTCAGCGCTCGATCACGCGCAAGCCCATATACGCGCCGTGAAATCTAAATCATTGGCCTATTGTGGACCTCACGACACACCCAGGACGCACCGTGAATTCAAAACCGCTGACTTATTGTGGACCTCATGCCACGACATGCCAAGGATGCCCCAAGAATTAAAAACCATCGACCAACTGTGAATGGACTTCATAACGCACCCCACGCCATCTCTCCCCTGGCATGATCCCATCCACACAATTAACCATACTCAGAGCCTATAGACACGATACCTCACGATACAACCAGGACACACTATGAATATGAATTCAAAACCGTTGAGCTATTGTGTACCTCCCGACCTGCCCAGGACGCACCGTCAATTTAAAGCTGTCGGTCTTATGTGGAGCTCACGACCTGCCCAGGACCCACCGTGAATTTAAAGCTGTCGGTCTTATGTGGAGCTCACGACCTGCCCAGGACCCACCGTGAATTTAAAGCTGTCGGTCTTATGTGGAGCTCACGACCTGCCCAGGACGCACCATGAATTCAAAACCGCTGACTTACTGTGCATCTCACTCATGACACACCCAGGATTCACCGTGAATTCAAAACCGCTGACTTATTGTGGACCTCACGACACACCCAGGATTCACCATGAATTATAAAAACAGTCGACATTTTGTGGACCTCACGGCATGCCCAGGACCCACGGTGAATTCAAACCCGTCTGCCTACTGTAGATGGACCGTATGAACACACCCCACACCCTCTGTCCCTTACACGATCCATAATGTAATTATCCACTATGTGCTTACATACATGAGCATTCATGTGCAGAGCCTCCACAGATACAACCAAGAGCTAACCCCCTCTCCCTAACCAAGAGCTAACCCCCTCTCCCTAACCAAGAGCTAACCCCCTCTCTCTAATCACATGATCCAACGCAATCATATTTAGAGCCTCTAGACATGATACCAGGGCCCCGTTGTCAGAAACAAAATTGGTCTTAACATTATAGTCATAACATTAACTTTTTCTCTTAGACCGCCGATAGAAATGCTGCAAAGTTACGAGAATGAAAAATCGTAGCAGATTTCCTCATAACAATACGAAACAAAGTGATGTCGACGGTCTAGGAGAAATTGTTAATGTTAAGACTAATGTTAAGACTAATTTTGTTTCTGACACCGGGCCCCTGGAGTCTATCAATATTGATAGACTCCTGATAATACAATGAACAGCTACAATTAGCTCTTGAGACATTCCACTGCAGCGCTCGAACGTTGTTACCTGTGAGAAAGCGACGGACCATGTCGGACGGGATGGAGTGCACAAACGCCTTACTCGGAGTGCCGCAGTAGTACAGCAGCAACTTCAGTTGAGAGATGCTGTCCTTACCTGAAGAAAAACAGCGATCGACGTCCGAGCGTCAGTCGTACGGCAGCATTTCGAAAATTTCTACCATCGCTTGCACGACCACGCGGATCATCCACTTAAAGAGGCGCGATCTCCCGTAGATAAGATGGAGAGAAAACTCACCGGGAAAGACAGGTTTGCAACCGAGCATTTCGACTGTCTCCCGCACGACCCCGCAATCGCCCGCTTATACACAACGACGACCTTGTAGTTAAGACGGAGGAGATAAAACTCACCGGGAAAGACAGGTTTGCGACCGAGCATTTCGGCGAAGATGCATCCTACGGACCAGACGTCGACGGCCGTTGTGTATTCGGTGAAGGCGAGCATGAGCTCGGGCGCGCGATACCACCTGGTGGCGACGTACTGAGTCATGAATAATTTCTGCACGCTAGGTGGCTCTGGCGACAGTCCCCTGGCCATGCCTGGAAAAAAGGAAATTATTCTCCGATGTTACATGACTGTTGGAAGAGACCTCGATCGATCGCCATTGCTGGGAATGTTACCCACTCAAAAACATGTTTGTTGGCACATGTGGACATACACCAATGCACAACTCGCGCCACCACACACACATCCATATCGACACAAACAAATACAAAAATACAAGATGCACACATGCACACATGTACGCACATGCACATGTACGCACACACAAGCGCACGTACGCACGCACACAAACACGCACGCACGCACTCATGCACGCACGCACGCACACACACACACACACACACACACACATGCATAAACTTACCAAAGTCACCAATCTTTAAGTCGCAGTTCTCATTGACAAGTAGATTGCTTGGCTTTAAATCCCGATGTATCACATTGGCTGAATGGACATACTTTAATCCCCTGAGAATCTGGTACAAAAAATACCTGCAGAAGAAACAAGGTGTTCTATACATACAATGACTCTAAGAATGAGTCTGTGCATTCTCTATTTCAAAACAGAAATTTTTGGAAAAGATGAGATCTTTCTTTACAACGTAAACGTAAAGTATATAGTATAAGCTTGTTGCTCAAGCATAGAAACAAACAAGATTGTATAGATTTAGTATACATATAGTATACAGTATATATATATATATTCATGTTTATAGTTTTAGCATTGCATTGCATTACACTCTCAGCATTTGCACTGCAGATCTTGAAACCTTCTCAATGAAATTTCCCTGTGTACAAAACGTCACAAGGCTTATTAACCTACGAAGAAAGAGTATAACTTATATTCACCCCACCCACCGCTCCTCACGACACATACCGTACATGTTCATCCGTGAGCGACTGCTTCGATCGGATTATCTGGTGAAGGTCACTCTCCATGAGGTCAAGGACAACGAAGACTTCGTTGAAGCGGCCCGTGTCCGTCGGGTACAACATGTCCCTGATGCCTATCACGTTGTCGTGTTTGAAATGCTTCAGGATCTTGATCTCCCTGTGTTATAGATCACAGAAGCTTCTAGTTAAATGGGGAAAGGCTCGCCTACTCACATGCCATTTCGGTAAGGGCTCGAACACCACACACGAAAGATAGACAGGGTTCAGCTTAGGGCGTTTTAACCGTCTGCTTGCAGAACAAATTACTATATCTTGCAGCGCAATGCAACCGATTCGCCCACGCTCTAGTGGTCAAGTAGAAATCGTTAATATTTCCAGGCATGAACGCACATGTAGTTGTGGCAGAAAACCGCAAATGTGATGCGTGTGTTATTGCTGGAACTAATACAGTTAAAACAACTATAACCACATGTAGCTTAATTACCTGTTAAAACAACTATAACCACATGTAGCTTACCTGTTAAAACAACTATAACCACATGTAGCTTACCTGTTAAAACAACTATAACCACATGTAGCTTACCTGTTAAAACAACTATAACGACATGTAGCTTACCTGTTAAAACAACTATAACGACATGTAGCTTACCTGTTAAAACAACTATAACGACATGTAGCTTACCTGTTAAAATAACTATAACCATTAGCTTACATGTTTGTTACAACTGTAATCATGAGCATACCTGTATGTTCGTTTGGCAACACGCATGTCATCGAAGATGTTTGTGATCTTCTTGATTGCGACTTTATCCTTCGTCCTATCGTTAACAGCCGAGCAGACGACGCCATAGGCCCCGGTGCCGATGTTTTCCAGTGCGGTGTAACCTAGAGGGAGGTGGCAGCACAAGGCAGAGTAACTCACATACATATGCACAGAAAGATGGAGTATCGGCATGCCATACAATAGCATTACAAAGTAAGAACTTATATGTACTCGCAGCACATGTAAATGGTAAACGTTCAATCTTATTGTAGACACTCATGTATACTACATGTATACACATACTACATGTATGACAGAAGCATATAATTGCTCAAGATTAAATTGATGAAAAGTTTTCACCCTGGAAAGTATATTGGTATATTGGTATGAATGCTGTAACAAGTATTTGCAACTCCTTAGCTGACATTCGTTGATAGGTCACTCTATTAGTTTTACATTTCGGTTCCACTGTGACTGTGTGACTATAGTTGCACATTAGTTACATAAGATATGTATAATAAAACAATCTTTAGATTGAATTAATTATTGATCTGGTAACCTGTTCCATCAAGATTGAAGGTGATATCCAAACACTTCTTGTTGAGAAATTCTCTCGACACCTGTTCGTTGCTCTTCCCTGCTGTGGCCGCCACCGTCTCCATCCTGTCTCTCACTGCAAGGTGGAATAAATCATTTCAGTTCAGAATGTAGTCGTTCGCAGATGTGAAACTAAGAGTCCACGAAATTAATACAATTACAAATACAATACAAATTAATACAATACAAATACAATTAAGCAATGCCAATAGGGCAATATTAAGTCATGACAATTTCTCCAAAGCTATCTAACTTTTTTTTTTTCTTGTTTTGTTTTGTTGCATTACGTTCCAGTAACCAAATTTGGGGCGTGAATAAAACCCGGACCCGGAAAACCTGCATATATAACCGGACTGGAGTAGAATGGGTTAGGGTTAGGGTTAGGGTTAGGGTTAGGGTCCGGGTTAGGGTCTGGGTCTTATGCAGGTTTTCCGGGCCCGGGTCCGGGTTTTATTCACACCCCCAAATTTGGCATCATTAAGGCAACAGAAGTTAACAAGTTAACTGCTATTGTTTTACACTATATAACAATATAACAATATACCGGTAACCCAGGGAATGCTGCCACAGGGCCTGCCAACCGGCAACGTGTGTACCTGTGCCTTACATGCCGTGTGCGTGTGGTGTGTGGTGCCAGAGATGGATGCCACCATCAAACAGGCCCTCTCCAGATTCCTGTCTGAGTCCATCCCAGTAATTTAGCCACAGACACTCCGTTGTTACAAATTTTTAAAAAACTACAACAACCAATTACTATGAGGAAACACCGGTAGCTAACGATACAAAGAGGGTTTACATTGTGACCATGACCTCGTGAAGTAGGAGGATAAACGAATAACAACAACAACAACAAGTGTGTGTGTGGTGTGTGTGAGATCTGTGTGCACAACCTCTGTGCTGACAGTGACTGTGGCACTGGCAGCATTCCCAATGGCAATGTTATGCCACGCATTATCGGATAGATATAAGATAGCGTAAACCAGCAGAACTGTACATGTCATTATAATGCCAACTGGTCTCGGTACGGCTACTACTACTAGTACTACTAGTACTAGTAGCTAGTAGCAGTACCTATAACATAGATTACGGACAGAGCAAGGCACTTGCTCATTAATAGTAAATACAATAATACAATCCAACACAAGAGCAGGGTACTAGTAGTAGTAGTACTAGTACTACTCGTGAGTCGTGTATTAATTGGGATTTATCATCTAGGACTCGGTGACTCACTGACTGTGACAGATTGTGTGAGTGAATGATTTACAGAACTTACACACCGCTTTCTCCTTCACGTTCTCGCCTATCTTCTCCTCCTACTCTGAGTAATATTCATTTCGAACTCTACCAAGAACCTAGGCAAGTCTAGCCAGTAGCCTGCTCACGCCGGACAAATTGTTAGTATTTATGTAATTTCACAGTCTAAAAATAGATTTCCGCGTTGGTGCAACACCACGAAAATGGTGACGTCAGAGTTTTTGGTACGCTATAAGAAAATATTAGTATAAAATTATACATTTAACATAAATCTGAAAACACAAAAGAATACTATTTGTAAAATATTCATGACGCTACATTATTTATCTTATCATATATACAGTAAATTATAAAACTAGTTTGTTGACGAATCCACACCCATTTTTTCATCAAGCGAATAATCAACTGTAACTGGCCGAACAATAAACAAACAAGAAATGGCGGATCTACTTGAACCAGACTTTGGGACAGCAATTTACAGATCAAACGATAACATACAGAACCTGAAAATAAGGTATATTATTTCTGTTACAACTTTAAGTTGTAATCGTGCATGTGTGGGTCACATCGCTATCGATTAGCAGTATCGGAGGATCGTACTGCACTAGTACTGCCAGTGGCAGTACTGCCAGTAGTCCGAGCCGACGCAGACCCCAGTAATGGGGTTGCATTGTCATTGATAAACCCGCATCCCCAGATTAGCAAAGCGGAGTTAACACTGCCAGTAGACCGAATAATTCTGTCCCATATAACCCTGTTTTATATTTTGGCAAGGGTTATTGGGGGGGGGGACTCCCAATAACCCTCACCAAAATATAAAAAAAGGTTATATGGGACAGAATTATTCGGTCTACACTGCCACTGCCAGTGCAGTATCTCTAGTACTCTAGCGACTCTAGCCAGTACGTAGCTCTAGCAACTGTACGCGGGCTAGAGCTACACTGCCAGTAGCTCTACTAACTATAGCCCGCGTACAGTTGGCAGTTGCCGCAGGGCTATAGACCGTAACATGGTCATTTCGTATGAGTTTTTTCTGACAACTTTTAGCCTATAATAACTTCTTCGGTATGCCAAATAAAACACATTCTCTGCTGGACAAATGTCTTTAGTTACTATAAACACTAAAATTAAACAGCAAACTATCGCTTAAATATTGTACTTGCGATATTACTCATCGACGAAGATTGTTTATCAACTTGTAACCGCCATTTCTCGTTGCGCACGCTCGCGCGGTTCCGGCACTCACTCACTAGGGACGTAGACCCTATGAGCAGTAGTAGTACTAGTACTAGTAGTAGTAGTAGTGGTTGTAGTAGTAGTAGTAGTAGTAGTAGTAGTAGTAGTAGTAGTAGTAGTAGTAGTAGTAGTAGTAGTAGTAGTAGTGCTATTACCGAGTATTAGTAATAGTATAGCCATCGTTGGCTCTGCCACAGTTAGCGGCAACCGTACGCGGGCTATAGTTACTAGAGCTATGCCACAGTGAGATTGGGGCCGAGGCAAAGTATGTGTGACCACCGCAAATGTGTTTTCGCATATATACTAAACTAATCCTTGGCCAAATTTGGATACTGCAGCAGCAGCGTACTACAACTACAAGTACAACAGAAACAGAATCCGGCTAACTAGGCTTGGGCCAGTTGTAACACACTACCTAAAAAGTTTCAATTTCACTATTAACTAGAGAATATATAGAAAGTAAAAAAGAAATCGAGTTGCTGTAAACGATTGCATACTTCTAGGGTGGTCATCAAGAAAGTCACGTCTTCTACCGCCTTGCCGCAGTCCATCTTTGGTAAGCATGCAGCTGGTGGCGGTGCCGGAATGGAGTTGGCAGATTTACGACTGAAACACAGTCTATCTTCGCAGCCACAGGATAGTGACGAGTACATCTTCGGCTATCAGGAAAAGCTATTTAGCCAGGTACTATCGATGAAAATACATCGACTATTCATGTGATTTAATGTAAGTGCTATCATGCATGCATACATCTGTTTCTTCTTATGCTCTTGATCCCCAGATGGGACATAAGGCCGTCAGCGTGCATACATATACTTGGATAACTGTCCCAACCTGCGCCATCTATTGAATAGTATTTGTATTGCTGGGGCTGGTAAATAAAAGCTGTGTATAAATGCAAATTGTAACTTTAGCCTTTTCGGATAATTAAGTCTGTCTCTATTTATGGAGTGCAAATTGTTGTACATATGTATTCTAGAGAGAATGGGATCTGTACAGTAGTCTGGGCAACTGTCAAACAGTCCTGGAGAAGAAATATCATGAGGAGGTGAAACACACAAGGTGTGTATTTATTTAGGCTCACATATATTATTTTAAATTTTTAACGTTAACAAATAACTTCCAGTCTGTTAGAATACTGTCCTACCCATCTTCTTATTTTTTTCTCATATCTGGCAGCCAAATATTACGTTTCTAAGCAGCCACTGGTTTTATATGTTTTGATTCTTTTTTCTTCACCAGGACTCGACCTACAACGCGCCTGTTCAGCTACGTAGACCATGACACGTTCACAAACATCGATGAGGTGTGTACGCTACGGGATAGTCAGCGAGGCGTTTAAAATCACATTCAACCCTAACTTTGTCACTAAGTAATACATACATAATACATGTTCACATCCAACATCAGAATTATTGGAGTGCATATCAATAATGAAGAAAATCGAGAATTATCGATTAAACAAGCACCGTCGATTCTGACACTGCGACCGGAGTCACCGGACGCCGTTTTTATTTCACGCGATCGGTTTGTACCCCTGCCACCGGATGGCGCCACACGTCTGCACAGTCGTGTTCGTCTGCTTGCAGCGCGCGCAGCGGATGACGACGTCGGCCGCGGAGGTTCCCACCTTCCTCGCGGAGAGGATGACCACCGTGAGACGCAGGAGAACCCGCCCAGCGAGGACGGCAGACGGGTACGCATGCATCCCTCCCCTCTAAAAGCACACTCCCAAACACTTCACAGCTCAACCTACAATCCCACACATATCCCAACCCTAAATATCACACCCTCACTTCCCAACCCCCAAACGACAATCCCCACATCCCAATCTCAAAGCCACGCCCATATCGCCTATAAACAAACAGTCGCAAATTCTACCTCTGAACACAAGCCCCCAGATGGTACAAACCTTACCCCTCCCCCCACAAACTTGAGGCATGCCTCGTATCTGCCTCAACCCACTACAGCATCTCCACAGCATGCCAATGCCATTCTGTGAAGTCCTAATGGTATTGAAACTTGGGAAAATTGAAAACGAATTACATTGAAACGCAGGCTCTGGAAGTTCTGGCAAGTGAGGACGACAATTCATCTATGATTTGTTGATACATTGACATCTATGGTCGTTACCATTGCAGTGAAGAGGCGGTGGTGCCAAAGATCAACATCGTCAACTTGAACCCCACCCCAGAGAAGATGAGCAACTCCCACATCCTCACCACGCCCGTCCAGACGATGTACATCATGGCAGACCTGTCGCCCAAACACAGGTGCGCGACGGCGCTTCCTTGTTCAGAGCGCGTTAAATTGACTACGTCACGAATTTTCTATGGTAAAATTTGTAAAATTTTCGTTGCCATTTTTTTACATTAAAAGTAAGTACTAACGGGACTAAACGTATCGTCAAATTCTTACCTGATAAGATTGTTTCTGAACTAGTTAAAAATCAAAAAAACCTGGACGATTTGATATTATGTTCCTGACATTAATTGCTTGCTATGGGCTATGTATGAGTCACAAGTGTATGTTCACATCGAACAATATAGTAAAATAGGAAGTATAATGCAGCAATTTAACCATAAAAAGTGAACAAAATTACTTATATTTTGTGAAAAAGCAGAAATATTATTTTTAATTTTTACTATTTACGGTGACGTAATCACTTTAAGCCTCTCCGTTGTAGAAGAACCGAACGATTAGTGTAATGCCCTCGAAAGTCACGATGAATGTAACAAAAAAAAAACGATAAAGTGACGCGTTGTGAAGTTGCGTAAAACTTATCTTTGGCCGAACGTTAACAGTTTTTCATCGAGTTATATCAACAGGCAAGCGGTCTAAGTCTCATTGATCTATATAATATTGCCCCCTGAGTTAAGTGCTAGTAGCAAAAGGTCAAAATTTTAAAGCTATAGCGTTATATAGTACAATAGTTCTACATAGTACGATAGTTCTACATAGTACTACAGTTCTACATAGTACTACAGTTCTACATAGTACTACAGTTCTATAGGTTTTATATGCTTCTATATGGTTCTATAGTTCTGTATGGTATGGTAGTTGTATAGCACGAATAGTTCATGCAGTACGATCTAGACGTTAGTTGCTTGATGTTCTCTAGGGAACAGAAGTTGAGCTCGGACGAGTACGTTCTGTGCACGATCAAGGTTGATGCACACGGCGTGATCACGACGAAACCAGACTTCAATCGTGGACAGAAGCCGTACACCGTGGAAACGGATGGACTCGGGAAAGGTGATTCCTTGCCGCGCGTTTTACAGATGTTAGCAAAATCATGATGGATACGTAATCGTGGCATGTTTACCGAGGCACGTGCGGCGTATATCCAGTCGAAAGGGTTCCTGACGTAAAAGGATCTCTTTAAGAAAAAGACACTAGCTTTCCTTTCGAAACATTCACACAAACACATACATGGACAGTAACAAACCAGGACAGACCATTGCGACCATTGTCAATGCAAGGCCCCCCCCTTCCCCCGTGCAGACTATATTCATTCGAAAGGGTCCCTGACATGCAGGGATCACTTCGAAAAAGGCGCCGCCGCGGACGGACGCGAGTGTTCTATTGTTGATGCGAGTTGCGTGCTTCGCAGAGGTTTTCGAGTACTGGATCGAGAGCGTGTCGCAGCAGATGAGCTGTCGGGAGCGGGACGGCGAAACGAAGATGTACCGCGAGCTCTACGCGAGACACGCTGACTTCCTCGCAGCCTGCGTAGGCACCGAGTTCGAGATGGTGAGTAGGGCGGGGGGAGTGGGCACGGGGCGCCGCCCATCACACGCGGTCGCCGCCATGATGCGGGCCATCACGCAGCCCCTCACCCGCGGCTGTCTGTTATGTAGGAGCGTGAGGTATCATTGTGGGCACACCATGTCTCATTGGTCAGTCAGACATTTAGGAAGATGACGTCATGGGGGATGATGTTGTATCATCACGTCACGGTATTTAATGTCAGTCGGTGAGCGATGTATCGCAGCAGTAGCAGCAGCAGCAGCAGCAGCAG